GGAATGTGTCAAAAGCTCCTGAAAAGCGTCTGGGTGGAGCTCGGCGACCCTCTGACGTCTCGGCCCGACGGATGATTGACACTTTGCTTTGAGTGAGGGGAATGAGGAGGAGGAGTAGGGAGGGAGGAAGGGGTGGGGGCGACACCTGTTGGAGGTACAGAGTGAGGTTCCGTGATGGGAACACAAGGCCCCAAATATGATGGTCTCTTTTTAAACAAAAAGCAGGTTGCGTGAAGAATGGCTTCATTGTTTGAGTCCAGAAGAAAAGAAGTGGATTTTGAAGCACCATTGAATAAAACAACAACAAAAAAAAAAAGGCGATGGAAGGAGGGAAGGCCGGAAAGTGACAGGAGGGTATCAGGATGCATGAAAGAAAAACAAAAGGTGATGGAGAAAAGGCGCTCAAGTAGGTTGAAGGAAAGGAAAGACGGATGTCGAGCCTGCGGGAACCAAATAAGGAATGAAGGAAGGAAGGATGTTGGTGTGAGGTCAAGGATGAAGGCCAAAAAAAAAGCATCATAAATGTATGCAGATGAAGAAGCAAGAGTGCCAAATGGAGGGGGGGGAACAGGTCTGAGGAAGAAAGAAAGGCTGATTCCCCTGAGCCCAGCGTGCATGAAAAAAAAAAGAGGCGGCTCGGGAGGTTTTCTCTCTTTTTCTTCAGATGCTTTGATTGTTGAAAGGAAGAGCGACAAAAACTCCATTTCACATCATTGCATCGGAAGGGGAGACATTTATTCCTCTTTTGACGATCGGCGGACCATCCGACACACGGGTGCCAAAACTGCTGTGTTCGCTCGACATTGGCAAAACGCTGCAAAAGCTTTTCGGCCAACAAGAACGATAACAAGCCGGTCGAAAAATCCCGAGACGTTCTTGAGTGTACATCCGGTGGATATCAAAAGTCTACACACCCCCTGTCCAAGTGCCAAGCTTTGACGATGACCGAGCTGCACCATTTTCAAAACTTGTTCCCATCATGAATAGAACCCGGACAAGCTCCGTATGCGGAAAAACAAAGTATGAGTGCAGCCGAACTTTACCCGGTGTTAATCAGAGGCACTTAATAAAGTGGCGGGGTTGCGGCGACTCCCGTTTCACATCCCCACTTTGGAACTAAGTAACTGTAACTAACAAAGCGTGGCTTGAAATAATTAACTTTAACAATGTGGCTACGTCAAAGTTACTTTGTTTGTCGTCACTTCGATGCGGCAAGTTATGGGACTCGCTAACAGTTACAATGACCACGAAGTGGTGACTTTGCAAAAGTTGCCGGCTGACAGTTAAGCGACAGAAAAAAAACAAACCGTAAATGTTACCAAGTAACTCACTGCAACACACACACAAAAAAAAAAAAAGCGGTCATAAAATAATAGAGTGCAGCTAACGACAAGTAACTGTGAGGAACTTCTGAACACGGCCACATCCGCCGTGATGAGGGTGTGCGCACTCGTGCCAACACATTAGCGCTGTTTGGAAAGGTTTCTGTTTTCAATGGCGTTGTTACAGGCCACGGTAATTTGTGGAAAAAGTTTTGGACTGATTTATCTTGGTCTTGTTATGTTGATATCATAAAAACCTGCCATACCTTTTAAATCCAATTGACACAATATGATGTTGAGATTTTTATTCTGTTATTTTGAAGAATATTTCTGCCACGCAAATGAATTGGTAACACAGAAGCAACTCACCTAAATAATGTTGTCATGAGCACCGCCTCAAAAAAAAAAAAAAAAAAAAAAAGGCAAAGCAGCAAGCAAATAGATGTGTCTTCCTTCCGCAAATACATGAAAAGTGTAAAATGTTGTGCATCATACACAGCCGCTACTCTGCATATGAGCCGTTACAACACAATGGAAACTTGTTTTGTTCGTGTGTTTTGTTTTTATACATGAAGCTATACAACGGCACGGGGCAAAAGTGAGCAAGAAAAAAAGAACAAAAAAACGAAACCAACGGAACAGGAAATGAGCACCCTGTCATTGTAAATGTGGTCAAAGTAAAAGCCACAGGCCGGGTCCCGGGTTGGCTGGCCCGTTGCGTGTGCCGTTCAGACGGTGAGCGAGATGAAGCTGTTGTATCTCTGGATGTTCCTCTTGAGGATCTCGGAGCAGGGACCCAGCACGCGCTCAAAGCGAGGCCGGTCCAGCTTCACGCACTTGAGGGGGCCGCGGGCCACCACCGTGGCCGCCCGCGGACGGTTCAGCAGCAGCGCGATCTCACCTAAACGGGGACGACACGCGCGGGTTTTACTGGCCCGCTCTCATTGTAAATTGTCTGAAAATCTCAATCATCTGTTCCATCAAAGCACTTTGGGCAAAAGAGGATTGGACATGATCCAAGCAGATCGTAAGAACATCATAAATAGAATGAAACGGTTTGTGTATCCTGACCTTTTTTTTTTTTTTTTTTTAATATCCTTTCTTATGGTCGAACACAAAAAAGAAATAATATTGTTGTGTGAGAATAACTGTTACAAATTTATTGTCAGAACATGATACCGGATCTTTGTCTAGATAAATTTCCTCACGCATTTTTTTTCTCTCCGAATACTTCAATGTATTGCTCCTATTATTTCAGCTGTTAGCTGCAGTATTTGCACAAAATTGATTTTGGAACTTTTTTTCTTGTTCCATGACAACTATTTTAAGAAAACAATATTCTCAAATTTTTTCCCGTACGACTATTTTTGCACGATTGGATTGTGACATGCCACTTTTGAACATTTGAACTCATTTAAATTCAATTTTTTGAAAACAGTTACTGCCTTTCTTTCGTCCTACTAATAATAAGCTGTCTCATTATGACTATGAAAAAAAAAATCCGCCAAATAATCCAAACTCATACCTCGTTATCTTGCCACTGGTAAAGTTTCTGCAGGCCCCGCCGTGTGTATCTTTCAAGGTCATCTTAAAAGACATTCTATTCTTTGCCTTTCAACTCGGCACAATTTGAGTCCTTTTATTGGGTTCGCTGTTTTGAATGTTCTTGTTTCACTTGTCTTTATTTTTGTAGGTGAGGGTGCTCTCTTAATACAGTTGAGTTGAGCTGGATGACTGTCATGTACTTGACTTTGTCGTCAGCCAGTGCTCCATGAAGCGTCTCCAGTCGCTCCAGAATGCCGCCGCTCGCCTCTTGACGGGTACTCATATAGAGAGGTAGCACCTCTTTCCTACTCTGGCATCCCTTCACCGGCTCCTTTTTTTTTTTTTTTGAAAGAGTTCTTTTGAAGATCAGAAATCTTGAAATGGCCCGGTCCCACCGACCCTCTCGGAGCTCCCGCCCGCTGCCTCCGCCGGTCTGCATGGGACCAGACACTAGTGGAGGTAGCGAGAACCAAGCGGAGGCTCCGAGGGGATTTGAGGCTTTTTCCATTGCCGCTCCCTCTCTTTGGAATGAACGTGCGGCGAGCCCCCCCTCGCTGCCCATCTGCAAAACTCGTCTTCAAACTCATTTTCATTCTTTGGCTTTTAACTCCACATGAGACTCGATTTTGAGTTTGACTGTTTTTGTGCTTTCCGCTGTCTTCCTAATTAATTTATGGTTCGTTGTTGGCCGAATAATTTTTGTTCCATGTACAGCGCCGGTTCGTCGACGGCAGTGGCTGTTTTTCAAGTGCTCGAGAAATACACTTGAGTTGAGCTGTAGCTTTTCAAATGACTTTCCGAGATTGAATGTTGCGACACTCGAGGACCATCATGAGCGACCTGGTTCATTCAAATATGTTGCGTGACGGCGTGTCATTTGATGGCTTCCCGTCTTGCAAAATCCAAACGAGGATTGAATAGGAATTTCGGCTTTGCGGCACTTGGACGGATGCGCAGCAACTCACCAAAATAGTCGGAGGGTCCCAGTCGTCCTACCTCGACATACTCCTCATTGTCGGACCTGCGCTGCAGAACAGAGGCTGTTCCCTGGAGACGGGACGGGCAGGAGGGAGAATTGGGGGATTGGGGGCATGGGTTGCGGAAGGATAGTAAGATGGACACGGGGGGGGGGGAAACGGACGGAAGGAGTTACTGAACGGAGCTGATCATCATCAGGAGGATTAAGCAGAGGAGAAATTCCTTTGCTTCATAAAACACAGGTGCACGGGATTTGGGTCTCTCTCCCTCTCTCTTTTTTTTTTTTTGGGGGGGGGGGCGTTGTTGTATGGAACGGCCACCTGTTCCGTGGGAGGCACAGAAACCACAACTCACATATTCCAAGCAAGGAGGACAATTTGGACGGGCTTTGCTTGATTCTCTCCAGAGTGTCATAAATCCAAGCATCCAAAGCCGATGACTCACACACAACATGGAAACGACTGCCGCGTCCAAGACGAACGGACCCCGACAACCTGGCACGCAGACGACAAAACAGTGAAAACTTTGAAGGGAAATGGCTTTTCCGTGGCCCTTGCCCAGAATGAGCGTCGCCCGCAGCTGTTGTTTGCCGCAGCGGCTTCCAACAAATGTCCGCGTCACGAACATAACATTGGCGAGCATCGCCCTCGATATGCATTTCGGTTCACGTCGGATCTCTGTCAAATGTCGGGAGGAAAACTCAAAGCGGGTGATAAAACCAACCTGAGCGTTCCGTGACGCGCTCCCCCCTCATCGCTAATCCTTCCGTTGAGTAGGCTTGTGATGCGAAATATGAAGATAATCAACCCTAATGAGGAGCCAAAACTGGGGTCAAATATTGCTTGGGCTGTATCCCGCTCAAACGTGTTGGACTTCAAGTCACCTTCGGCTTGTCACCGGACCTTTTGTGGCAAGATTTCTCACGGGGCAGGGGGCAAGGAGGGAGTTTCAAAATCACGACTTTTGGGAATAGGACATAGTAGCAACCCGCGGCTATTAATACGGATTTGGGTGTAGATTGAGCTGGTGCGGTGCCGGAAATGACCGGACCACCCGCACCTTACGTGCATGTTTTTGTGTTCACTCGTGGCAAATTTTCAATTTGTATGCAGAGATACCGATGGGATAACCAGTTCACGATGCAACTGGACAAAGATTTGACAGCCGCATCCCGAGTCGAAACGCAACAAACAAAAAAGTCACAAACGGCTTCGGATCCACAAGACTGGCGACGTTTCAGTTAAGTGCTCCTATGGTAGCACAACCGGGAAACAAAATAATTCTGCACCCGATCCAATGCATACTTTTCGTGTTGACAGTCGGTTCGGAAGTTTATTTTAAGTCATAAAGCTGACCCAATTTATTTGGTGTCAATCCTGTAGCTACAAAAGACGGAAAGGGCGCGCACACGCAGTGGCTGGTTAAGGGCCCCAGGGGCAAACAAAGGGGTGTGTGTGTGTGTGTGTGTGTGTGTGTGTCATACAGTACGTGAAAGTGTTCTCCTGATGCCTTCATCGCTCAGCGTAACTTCCATCGCGTGTATTTTAAGTTCCGGGCGACTCCGAGAGCAAAGGTGACAAAGTGCATGCGCAGGTGTGTGAGCGAGACGTGGCTTGTTTCAGGCGACCAGTCAGGCAAAGACGGTGAGACTGGGTCAAAGCCCCTGGAAAATGACACGTGAACGGATGGCAAAAAAACCCCCCAAAACAAATCGATCATACTGCATGTACGATGGACGCGGCATGGGAATCGCGCGTCCGCGATGTAAATCCTCCGGGCGACAAAGTCGGAGGAGCAGCGAGAAAATCCCCAGCTCAAGCAGACGTGATGAAAAGGATTTCAAGCGGGTGCGCGTGAGGAAACGACTTTGGGTTCGGGAGGGAGCAAGAAGCCATCTTGCGAGTCCGGTCCGACCCCCCCCCGCCGGCCGCCCGCTTTGACTCATCCCTCCCTCTCCCGCCCGCGTCCCCGGAGGCCGAGTCTCCTGACCCCGTGTGAAAGCCAGCGAGTAACACGCATTCCACCACGGTCCGCCCGGCTCTGGGAAAAGTCGGCTTTGGCCGCGGTCGAGGACGAGAGGAAGAAGCCGGAGAGCTTAGGGGCGAAAAAGGCAAGACCGACAGGAGGAAGGGATCACACATCATGTGATGTCACGTGGCCCATGTGAAACGAGCGAGAAAAGACAGCGGAAACGGCCCATCCCGCACTCGCACGTGCATCGAAAAAAAACGACCCGAAACCACGACAAGATCCACGAGCAGACTCCAAAGGGGTTTCCGTTTCAACGGTGACGGACAGCCAATCCAGGTTGAAAGAAATGAAAAAGGGAGTTTGGGTGCTTCCGCTTGCCCTCCGCCGACTTGCGCTCTTGCCGTCCTGCCGCGCGGTTCCTCGGCGCATCGGCTTTTCCGCCGCATGCGGACTGATGACTTGCTCTTAATGTCTGATCGGCGTCCCAAACCCCGATATACGAAAAGTATACGCCGGCATCCGGAAATGGCTTTTGAGGTGAGAAACTGTGCGGCCAACGTATGTGGCCGCCAACGTGGCTCAGCGGTAGAGGGGTCCGAGCTTGGCACTTTGCGACCACGGAGCAAGGTGGCCAAGCCCAAGTTGCTCCTGAGGCTGCTGCGTCGTCAGTCGGCCAATGAGGTCCACGTGGGACTTATCATTGAACAACCCGCAAGGATGAGCAAAGCTCGCAACGAGAATTTCCCCATCGCGGTTTGTGGCTCCAAATGTCCCCGCCACGCGCGCTTTTGTGGAAGTAACTGTTGTTCACGTCCAAAAGAAAACCGGTCATTCCCCGAATAAAACCCTTGCTTTGGACCTCCGGGATGAGCCCGCCAAAAAATTGCTCCCCAAACGAGGGCAAAACTACTGCATGCAGAAAAATGCCACAAACGGTTACCTCCGTGATGATGAAGAAGTCGTCGCCGGGCTCCCCTTGGACCACGATTTTCTCCCCGTCCTCGAATTGGACCGGCTCCAGGGCATCGGCCACAGTCAGACGCTCCCATTTATCCAAGGACTCTGCCATCGCAAAACACACACAGACACCATCTGACGAATAACCGGGGCCAACGCCTTGCACGTTCCTTGCCTCCTTTACGTCGGGCCTCAACACTGTCAAGTCACTTTTTGTTATTGTTTTAAACGCTATTTATCGATCATTCAGCGGTTTTTCACCATCGGGAAAATGCCTCTGTGCTTTGGATAGTCCACTGGCATGGCCACTTTAGAGTGCCTCGTCGTCAGCAGTGAGCGCGCACGCGTCACGGTGAAAAAGGCATTTGAGGGTCCCTCGTTGCGTGCCGCGCCCCGGTGAGAATGCCGGAAGCAACGGGAGTCCGCTTTTTGAAAAAGACTGCTCGAATGCGATCCAGTCTGGCGTAGGCGCTTTAGAGCGCCTTGTAGTTACGCTGGGGAAAAGCCACGAGAAGAAGCCGAGGGCTGACCGAGTCCACCGGAGGTTTGAAGCGGATATGTTTCTGTTGCTCAAACATGAGAGTCTGTACGAGCAGAAGAAAGATGCAACCGTTTTTCCAAGTCGTCGTTGAGGTCTTTGATTGACAACGCTCTTACCTGCGCTACGTTATGCAACGTCGAAGACATTTGCTTTCTCTTTGTCGAAACCTTTGAGGAGTTGTAAGCCCGGCGAGCCAAAAGCTACAGGGAGAAGGTTTCAAACGCAAGCTCCAAAGATTGTCGCCTAATCCCGACGGTTTACGAGCAGAATGTGCGGAGAAAAGACTCCTCGGCTTGAGCTTGGGCATTCAGTTTCGAGACGCAAAAGTAGAGCGGGAGGAATCTCTTTGTCCCTCACTATCGGGCCTGCTAACTGATCCGTGTGTGTGTTGTGAAGGTGCAGGATGAAGGAAGGCCGAGTTTGGTGAGTTTGGAGGTGTCCGGTTTCCACCCATGCGGGGCTGCGCCGTCGATGGATGTCTTGCGTCTGGCAAGCGGGCTCCCGTGCCGGTGACCGCAGGTGAGGCGACCAACAAAATGCGCCGACTCTGATATTTCGCGCTCGCTGGCGCCTGGCCGCGTACACGGGGAATCGCCTGTCGGGATTTGGCTCGCGTAGCCCCGATACGCCCGCACCCCCACCCGGCGACGCCCACCAAGCACTTTGCTGCACCACATCAAGGACTTGGACCTAATTCCGTGGCTATCTGGAAAATCAAAGACAAACAAAAACACCGGCGCCTCCCGCCCCTCCTCTGACTGACGGCCGCGGAAAGCGACAGAAAGGGGAATGAAGAGGGGCGCGGGACTTTGGCGAGGGAGAGGCGGGCCTCGACAAGCGCACCAAGAAAGGAGGCAAGCCAAAAGGCGGCGTTCTGAGACTCCAATTGAATGTGTGTGTTTCGCAGGGATGTGTGCGTCAAAGTCGCCATTGTGCGTTCTGACAAAAAAAGAAAAAGGCTCGGTTTTCTCTACTTTTTGGTCAGGAACGGACGTTTTGGGCGAAAAGAAGCCCTGTTCCGCTCCTAAAAACCAGAGAGAGCTCCACATTTGTGAATCTCCTTTTTGCTTTGGTAGCCGTGATGTCGATGCTTCCGTTGTGATTGTCACAGAAGAGGGGCTCTTGAAAGATGGTCACCGCTTAGATTAGGACTTGAAAGTACTCGAACTGCTGGATTTCCAAAAGCCGACTTTTAATCTTACGCCTTTTCATTTTCACAAAAATAGAAAACCGTAAAACCGTTTTTGGGTTTGTTTGTTTTTTTTTGGTTCATTTCAATGACTGGTGCCACTAAAAGTGAACCAAAGGAAAATGTCTTTCTTGATCCACGCAAGGGCTTTCCAAAACGTGTGATGACATGTCGGGCCCTATTAGTGCCCGCCCTCGAGACTCTGTGACATTAACGCGGCAGACGCATTTGCAGCGCGGCGAAGCAAAACACGCGGGGCATTCCGCAGCTGCGTTGGATGAAATACGGCCGAAGAGCGTCCTCCTCGCACGCTACTTTTTTTGGTTCATTTCAATGACTGGTGCCACTAAAAGTGAACCAAAGGAAAATGTCTTTCTTGATCCACGCAGGGCTTTCCAAAACGTGTGATGACATGTCGGGCCCTATTAGAGTGCCCGCCCTCGAGACTCTGTGACATTAACGCGGCAGACGCATTTGCAGTGCGGCGAAGCAAAACACGCAGGGCATTCCGCAGCTGCATTGGATGAAATATGGCCGAAGAGCGTCCTCCTCGCACGCTACGCTCGTACTGCGCAAACACTTACCGAGGATGGAGACCTTGCTGAGGAACTCCTCATACATCTTTCGCTTTCTGAGAGTGCTGCCCTGTGAAAACAAGGCGGGAGGGAGATGCGGAGAGATCGCCATCAGCCGGGGCCATCAATCATCAACTCGACCCGACGCCTTCGCACGAAGGCGAAGGACGCGCTTGTTGACCTAAGACACACTTGAGGTGCACGGAAATGACGGGGAGTCCTCCTTTCCATTCACAACGGAACATTTCTTTTTTCCACGGCGCCCATAAAGCCCGCTCCAAATCGCTTCATCTTTGATGACGGCTCGCTTGTCATTAAGCCCGACCATATACGGTCGGAGTAACGTGTGCCCGGCCCTCTTCTCCAAAGTTCTAAAAACGCTGCTTGGATGGGCTTCGTGGCACCATCGGAGCGGCGAGATAATCATCATCATAATAAAAGCGCAGGTGCTTTCATGTGGTCATGTGAGTGAAGGCTGTTCGCATCGGTGTTCCGTGTGTGTGGCGGGGGGCCTTCCCACCCACCAGGCAGGGGATTCCCCCGTCCGTGAATATCCTGACAAGTCTCAACCCAAAACTCGCTTCCCCACCGCCACTCGCAGAAGCATTTCTTTCTCACGGAGGCCACTTTGATCTTGTCTGGAGGAAACCAAGACCTGGATGGCACGGAATGTCTTCCATTTCCATGAAAAGAAGACAGAAGTCATGGGGTTTGGTGCCAGCGGTCCTTGTCCATCCCATCTTGCGGACTTGGGCTCCTGATCTCCTTAAGAGTCTCCAACACGGGTCTTAAACCGGACACTGATTTGAAATGGGACCGGCAAATCGGCGCCGTTGTCAACTGCAGCTTCTTCCATCTTAGGCAGCCGGCTAAAGTCGCGCCTCTCCTTTCTCTGGCGAGCACTTGGGAACAGTCCTTCATGCCTTCGTCACAT